ACGTTACATGCCCCTGGGGCGGGTGAATGATTTAAGTCTGAGAATTGTGTGGATGTTGGTCTAGACGGGTTGCGCATTGTCAGCGAACGTTTTCCACAGTGAGAAGTGAAGTAAAGTCATGACAACATCGATATAAGATCATATAGATGTAATCGGTAATCCGGCGCCCATCAATTGGGGCAGGCGTCTTCTTTGCTCATTCGGACTGTGATCCCGACATACGGCTTACTAATTAGATAATAGTTATGTCGGTTACCTTGTTACTATGGCACATAAATTGGGTGAACGGATAGATTAGATAATATTATTCATCTTGTGGCTTACCTAACACTTAGCTCGGGAGGGAAAGTAACCATGGGGCATAGGGTGGATAAACAAATAATTGGTGGGAATCCAGTTAGCTCGTGTCATATATCTTGCGAATTGGGTGGTAAATTTGCTGTTTACAGGTATGCTGCATTTGATTTACTGACGGTGTGCTTGCGTGCTGAGTTTCTTTATTTCAGGTGGTGGGTTTTCTGTCTTGTCTGATTGTTATTTTGCCACCTTATTTTAATGTATACCTGAATAACCTATTAAATGGCACATTTCGCTTAAACTAAAGGGGTTAACTTCACTTATTTTTCCCCTTACATATGTGTCTTGGTCCCTTTTTCTGCCATCCTGAATCTATCACGACTATTTTGATAAACTTTTTGTTTCATATGCTAATTTAGCTCCATATCCATGCGGTGTTTCGATCTATTTTATTCGACATTTCATTTCATGTGATTGGCTGTTTGGCATCCCCGATACGGCTGCACTTGATGTGCATGTTGACAAGGTGACTACCTGTGGTGGTGGTGGTGGTGGTGGCGGCGTTTCGCACTCAGTAGAGCGTGTTGCCAGAACCATCCCCATGCAGCTTACCTTATCGGCATCCGATTACCATGGAGTGCAGCAATATCAATACCCGGCTCTCGGTGCGGTGCGTCGTTCGGAGCGCTCATTCTTGTTCCGGTCTAAGAGCGTGCGCACGTCCCAGCATTCGATGTTGTGCGCTTTCCGCGGAGGCATACGCCTGCGCTGGGAAATTACAGAGGTTGTGATTGGGGCAACTATGATGATTAAATGGAGACATGGCTGGGTGAATGTGGAGAGGAAGAGAGAGAAGACCGATGCGAGGCACCAGCGATAGAAATTTTTTGTTTGTACCCCCAGCTGTATGCAGCAGATAAGGCGACTCTTTATCACCACTGCGCAACAGCTGAAATAGAATGAAATTGTTTGTAGTTGTATTATTAATGTTTTTGGTTGGACACATACACTGCGCAGGCAGTTACATTAGTCACACTTACGTTGAACCAAAATTGTCAATCAGCCGGGTAGGCCTGGTAGGTCATCAACGTGTCCACGAGGCGCGAATATACAAGTGGCCATGGGCAGGTTGAATAGATGATTCGGTGCGCAGCAAGTGCACCGAATCCCGACTGCATTCACCAACACGGACCAATACTGTGGTAGATGTGGCATCGTCGCTGCAGTTGTTCTGTACATTTACGTCTGAGTTTATGTCGCTGCGTGTTTGACAGCGTTTGATGATTGATATCCCCAGGTTGACTGCGTTTGATGTGAATGTTGGCAGGTTTCATTCCTGTCCTACCAGCTCGATTACTGGCTCCAAGAGACGGTTAGTTGTTGCTGGGGGAGACGGGCTGCACAGTCTTCGTAACAATACTGGGTCCAAAATGTGGTTCCATCTATTGTAGAATGGGCTACGGCGCAGCCACCGCCCTGTGTACGCTTGATAAGTTTGCTTTCCTACATCCATGTGAATGATATGCACGCTAAACGAGTATGGGCTCTCCCTGAAGCATTTTTAGCCCCATCCACATTCCTTCCGGTATTATTTCTTTGGGTTTACACTGGATGTGTGGTGTGTGCATGTAGATGTGGGTGGTGTTGCGCAAATTACCTATAGCTCCTCTTTAGGCGCAGGCGTCCTGTTGTTATTCGTGTTTTCTGTGACAAACAAATCCCGAAACTGATGAGTAATATGACTCTTGATCAAAATATACTGGTTCTTTCCAACATCTCACAAGTGCAATCATTTATCCACCAATCCGGAAAAGCACCAGTCGATCTTCTCACCCTATTGTGGCTTGTACTTGATGCGCATTCTCTCGGTTCCATGCAGGGAACCGAACCCGTGAGCGCTAGCAGCTTGCACCACTAGCCAAATGCTTATGCCACTGAGCCACAGGGAACGGTTGTCGGAAACATAAATCCGGTAACGGTTGCCGCTGGCCATGTATAGCTTTTCCTCTAGATTGATCTGCTACCTCTAGATGCAAGGAAATCCCTTGCATGTTCTTTGCTAGCCAGTATTACTTTATCTCTTCTAGTTATCGATCCGAGCAGCTGCTCTTATTTCGGTTAGCAGCCTTCGGTTGGTTTTTGTTTGGCTTTGTTAACAAGGTTTCTTGTTGGATTTCCCCGTGCATTGGAAATATTTCGTAAAAACTGCGATGCCATTTAGTTTCATTTTTGATTCTGAATGTTTCGACCATGAACAGTTGTTACCTATCTTTAATTCCAGAGATTTTACTATTGCCTAGGTCTGATGTTAACAATTTGTGATCATATGTACGAGCCTTTGGCAGCAAGCGACCGCTGAATTCCTTTTGCCAAAATGGAGCTGCCGCCGCAGCAGTCCTACTTACTGCAGCCAGCCTACAACTATAGAAGACGGATTTCGACGATCTTACTTGAGCCGCGTGCCAAGTGGATTGATCTCTACCACAGTCTGCATTTGTTGAAGCTTGCTGGTCCGTTTTAAAGAATGGTGTAAACTCATTGTTTGACCAGTTTGTGTCTATCGAGTTTCGAAAACTCGTACCAGTCAATTCACATTGGTTCGACAAGGAATATGGAAAATTCTTTTGGCAGCGGCGACGGAGCAGACTGTGGGACGAATTCCTTATCTCTGGCTCTGTCGATGACCACGAACTGCATACAAAGCAGCGAGACATTTGGAACGAGTGTGTCTGCATTTCGAATAACAGTTTGCAAACACTGCGTAGGCCGCCCTGAATTGAATCCTTGTGCATGTGAAGCGCTACCTGAAGGTGGCAAGTTACATACCAGTGATAAAGGGCGCAGCCGGGCCGCCCCTGACCTCCATCATTGAGCGTGCATCTACATTGGCTGCGCACTTTGCTTCCGTGTTTGCAAATGACCTGGCTTCTGTACCGAGTTTGGCGTGTACCGTCTTTACCGGACTCCCTTACTGACAAAAGCATCAGACAGTCCGCCGCCGTGTTCCTGGTTGGTCAACAGGCATCCAGGATGCCACCACACCAACCACCAGTGCCTTGATAACCGTCAGAAAAATCCTGGTCTCGAGTGCACATAGACTATGCTGATCCGATCGATGGCAGCTCCTACTTGGTCGTAATCCACGCTCACTCCAGATGGCCTGAAGTGTTCACCGTCAATCCACTAACCGCATCCGCCATGCAAAGTTATCTACAACGAATCGTCAGTCAACATGGACTCTCCGAGGTCTTGGTGTCCGACAATAGCTCCTAGTTTACGTCTTCCATGTTCGAAGACTTTCGTCGCCATTATTGCATCCAGCACCTACACTCACTGCCCTACCATCCCCAATCCAACGGTCAAGCGGAGAGGTTTGTTTACACCTCCAAGAGGCCACTCTTGAAATCTCGTAGGGAGGGGAACGTGGATGAATGCCTTCAAGCGTTCTTGTTCTCTTACTGGTCCACACCAAATCCAGCCGCTCCAGGATGCCAGTCTCCAGCTGAAGCATTGATGGGCCGCAAGCTACGCACCACTAACGAAACGCTCATCTCGACTGAAAAGCCAAGAAGTCAATCTGCTGCCTGCACCAAGCACAATGAATTCGTCGTTGGAGCCCCGGTATACGCTCGCGACTATCGGGCAGGTCATCCACGCTGGATCAAAGCAACAGTGACGGCCCGTCGAGGTGATATGTTGCATGATGTCTCTGTGGGTGATGACACGTGGGTCCGCCATCGCAATCAACTTCGACCGCGACACGGAGAACCCTCCACGCCAGCCAGTCTTCCTGTGCACTTGCCGCTGCACATCTTGTTGGATACCTTCGGAATTGCAACAGAACGAAAGACGCCGGTCGAAGCCGCCCAGCCGCCGCAACGTCTTGAGAACCCGCCTTACCGACGAACAGAAAGAATCCGTAGATCACCGAGATCCCTCCAGGTCACTCCTCGTCAGAAGCGGTGCACATTGTCCTCAAAGGGTTTTGCAGGAACGTCAAGTAACCCCGCAAAAATGCGCTACGGACTCCAATGCGTGGGCTGCGCCACGCAGAGTTCAGTCCCTTTCCTCAACGTAGCAGAATCCAGCCACTCTGAGCCGGGACGCAATTGGGTAAAGTGAACAATGTTACGCTGGAGGCCTGCCGCGATTGCCCTCTCAGGCGTACGTCCACATTGTTCGGAGAAAACGACTTCACCGGGCGCCGTGACAGGCCTGGTGTATATATTACTTGTAAAGTGGATTGCAGCATCTCTGTCAGCTAGTTTCTGTGGTTACGTCCAGTTCCCAAATAATCGGTTGTTTTACATTATGCTAACGGTTAAAAAAACTTTAGAAGTATCGCGCATTGCAGTCCATCTGCACAGCGAATGTATCAAACGACCAACACATGAATCATTTACTGTTGAGACAACTAGTCTTCGTGGCTCGGTATCGCGTGAGCAATGATCTCAGCTGATGATCTTCTTGTCTCGGGATAAGGTCGCAGTTCCGATGTGGTCTGTCTGAGGAGTGAAAACGAACATGAAAATGGTTGTGAAGTGCAATGCAGTGTTGCAAGCCATTGACACCTAACCACCGTAGGCTTGTGTCCTTAAGACCACACTTGGGGGGTTAAAAGTCCATAGACCTCTCCTTGTGTGCCGATTACTTCAGACGCCTCTGTGCTATATCGAGCTCAACGGTACTTGCTTATCTTTTCAGGTAAATTCTGAATACTTACAAGACCTAGACTTATAGACAGTTAATGGAGCCTGCTGCTTATGTTCTTTTCGATGAACTGCATGAGCAGTTCGATGAATTCCGTTCGATTTTATCCGGAAAGAATTCCATACCTATTCGCCTCCTCTGCCGGTAAGATATTTTCAAACTTGATGATGTTTTTATCTTCACTCAATTTACTTATTATTATTGCATTCTGCAACTATTTGCTTATATCGCCCGATTTTCAATGGTTCAATGAGATTGTTCTTTTTGCTGCTCAAATACTCATTTTCAAATCTCTGCGCAAGACGCAGTGCCAATCTTTACTTCTAGATAGCTCACAGTAAATGTGACGAAGAAATCAGCCCTCCGAGCGCCTTAGAGCTTTGACGAAATCAAGTTACTAAGCTTGTACTGTTCGTTCACACTCGTCATTCGACTTGCAGAGCATTAGTTTACTGATGGTTACTACCGAAGCAGCCTCCTGAATAGTGGTTCAGCTGAAATACAAGTCGGCTGCTGTGATACATTGTGAATGCTGGTCCCCTGGTTTCCATCATTTTTGCTTCATGCTGTCCCGTGTTATTCACCAAACGTAATATCGTGTACAGCTACGAGGATTTAATGCACTATTCAACTGCGGCGACTTTTCGCCACTAACTTCTCATTGTCCCCTCATATGCCGTCTGTCGATGTTCATTGGCCCACACACGATGTGCTTGGTCCACCTCGCTCCCGCTCTGTTCGTGCCATGTTCACCCAAACAACCAGGTACACTATCATGTGCATAGAGCACTTGAGTATGTTTACATTACTTAAATTCAATTGAGGATCAGAGACTGTGAACCAAGGCCTTACTGTCCGCGAATCGATAGAAATAGTGGGACTTTCATCAAATGCATCATGGCTTTCTGTCTTTAGCTTTACTTTTAAAGCTACCTCGTTGAAGTTGGAAGTCTTTATTTGTCCTCTGAATTTTCTTCACTTTTAGTTTGTCAGCTCTACAGTGACACTAATACCGCCTATTTTTGACACATACTTGACTATGCGCGTGGTACTTTACTCTCGTAGTTGCATTCAAGCGCTTCCACATTCATTTTTTGCCAGCAAACTTGACAGCTCTGCTCTCTTTCATTCTCTTACAGCATGTGCGCCTACAATTCGAGTGATTGTTCAGTCGAAGTTATTTCGCCAACGAAAGGAAATGAATTCCCATGTCTAGTTGTCAGTGCAAGCTATTTACCTGATGAAGAGAAGCAGAACTTGGCCGGAGCTGCCTCGAAAGAGCGCTTGGTACAGTTCACTGGAGACTTAACTGCACTTGAACATACGAGAGGTTATAAACTGAACGCCTTTGCTTCCGCTTTCATGGATGGTGTGGACTTAAGTGTGTATAGATCCATCGTTGAACTGACGCGTCCGTACATCAAGTACCTTCCACCCCTATGATTAGTTCATTCCCCTTCATTGGCCATATATATTTTTTCTATGTATGTATGTGTGTGATTCCGTACTCACTTGCTAGCTGGTTAGTGAGGTCAGCTACCTAAGTGGTTGGGATCAGATGGACTTGATTATGCTACATGGTTAGCGGCATCCGGTTTCGGACTTGCCTGTCACTGTGGTCAGCCACAGGACGCCTGCGCCTACAGAAGGACCATGGATGGCTTGCGCTGCACCACCCACAGCTCCATCCACACACCACATATCCAGTGTAAACCCGAAGGAATAAGACCGGGAGGCATGCGGATGGGAGCCATGTTTCATCAACGGAGCCGGCCCACACTCCTTCACAGACAGACACAAGTACGCTGTATTTGGGGAATCAAGCGCACACAAGGCGGTGGCTGGACCGTAGTCCGCTCCACACTGAGTGCATGGAACCACTCTTCGAGCCTAGCACGACCACAAGGACCGTGCACCCGGTCCCCTCCAGCAACGACCAACTGTCTCCTGGAGTCAGTATGGACGAGGTAGTGGGTAATAGATAGGTAGGCACCTTGTCAACATGCACATCAAGCGCAGCCACACTTGGGATGTCAAACAACAGCCAATCATTCGAAATGCCTATATCGATTAAAGTAAACACATATGACGACATAAATACTCGCTAAATGAGCATATAGAAGAAATTGGTTATAAGTGAATCCGTGATAAATACAAAATGTCCGAAAGTTATTTAAAAAATACCATAGCGATAAAATTACGCAAGTTTACCACAATTTGCGTGAGCGACGTGTGCAAGTAAGGAGAGGATTATGAAGTACGCAGAACAAACCAAATAACATGTAATGAATTTTATCCACATTAAAAAGACCTAGTTTAAGTGCAAGTTGGTTTAGCCCAACTGCGGTGAAGAAGCATCATGAATGCAACATACTACGCCAGAAAAGGCTTTTTAATACCTACACGGTCACAATGGTCCATTGCGGCCAGTACTAGAAGGGTATCAACCATGTGTGTGAAGAATTCGTTGTGGATTATTTGGGTATTTGATTTATTGTCTCGTCCCACTCGTCAAACTGTTGAAGCAGTGCGTCGAGCAGACATATGGCGATTTAGGTGAACTGGGTTCGCATTTCACACCGACTTGTGGGTCTACTATGTTATCCGTATGAGCACTGGGTCATCATGTGACGCAGAAGACCTCAGCTCAGTGAAGCACGAAAGTATAACTTCCGTCAGCTGAGCCTGTATCTTCACCATCTACTTCAATGCACACGTCGAAAACTCGATGAAGCGGCCAAACAACCATCAGGAAGTCTGTTACGAATACTCTCGACCCAGCGTAATGGTCAACTTCGCTGGTTTAACTGGTGTTAGACCTTAGAGACAGGGAAGGCTTGCAGGGCTGAATGGCTACATTCGAAGTGATCAAGAACAGTCGAACCCGGGACACTTTCTGCACGCACTCTAACTCACTAGCTCTAGTCCAAAGAATCGCCACAAGCGAGAACATGACTGGACAAGACTAAGTCGTCCCCGAGACACAATGGAGTTTGATGAAAAGCAGCGATCATATTCCGTCGGTTAAATCGGAAGTTGGTTTTATCTACGAGCTCGTGGAATGGGCAAAATCTGTTCAATCCTTAGACTAAAATGGGCTCATTGGAACACCGTGTTTTCAGCTAGAAACAGCGTTTGAATGCTAATTAATCTCCGCCTTGTTTCCTGAGAGTTGCTTGGGTAGTTAGGTCACCCCAGCACTGGTTTACGTACATAATTCCGGGACACCTATCAGTCCTTGATAATCCGCACACGGTTTTCCGTTTTTTACCTGGTAAAAGTTCGTATTCAAAGACTGGTTTGCACATTTTCGCCACTTCTTCGTACAAACGGGATTTGATGAAGCTAACGCACATATATTCAAATGATTCTAAAAAGGCCCTAACAGCCTTGCTTGATAGTGCAACATAGGAGAAACGTATATACGGCCGAAAAATTGGAGAATTAGTTAAATGGATCTAGACGTATGGCCTAACTTGTGAGCCGGACAATCAACCAACTCGCAGTTTAACGATCTGGATCGTCAATCTAAAGGAGGACATCTTGCCACAGACCCGAGGTCAGAATGGCTGCATGCGTGAATGGCATGCCTGTGTATAAATAGATCTAACAGACGAAGCTGGAGCGAAAATTATGAAATTGCGGCCGGAGCTCGAACTCGGCCCGAGGAATCGTCCATTAAACTAAAATCTTAGGGATCTCGGCATTTCGACGCAACATTAGTACAAACAGTCCTTGGTTGCATTCTAAAATCATCCAACTGTGCTCACACACCGGAGGGATAGCCATTCCTTTTCCTTGCCAGCCTTTCCACTGATAAATTCCATCGAAAGTACCCTCACCAATCCATTGAGCCGATTGGCCATGATTGGTGGATGTTTTACAGGAGAGTGATATGATGGATTGCATGGTATCATTTAAACTTACTCAAAGCTAGACTCTCAGACAGTCATCACACGCCCGGAAAAGCACCGTACGGCCATTTCATCCTCTCGGAAATTGTCAGCAACGTGCATTCCACCTGACCCATGTTGTACTAGAAACCGCAACCTGATTGCTATCAGTCCGTTGTTGAGATCACTGGTCTACGAGGGACGGTGATGAGTGACATAACTTAGTGCCCCTCAGTACCCACAAGCTTGCACGTCTCTGTCGTGCAGAGTACAGAGGAACCACTGACATTTTGTACGAAACACTGGACATAATACAATCTTTGTGTTACCAGTATGATGTGCTCTTTGGTATCACACCAAGTCGGTTACGAGCCCGTTACTCGATATTATTGGGGACATTTATTTTGCATGTGCTATACCGTAACCCACATATACTCTTGCTACCTTTGTTGCTTGGTACGGTACATAACGGATTCAACGCAGATCTAGTGCTTGCGTCACCACAGACTTAGCGCTGTACCTGGAATTCCAATGAAGTTACTGCACTGGCCGTATTGGCACTGTAAGACAAGAAAGATGTAATTATCATCTTTCATGCCAAGCACCGCATTCACCACAGTTCAAACGAATTTTCCGTTGTTGTAATCGTTACATGCCCTGTTCTGCAGCCGCTAGACCTTCGTGGTAGCTTCAGAGGACTAACTTGCCATGCTCCACAGTTGGTGTGCTTCTAAGTAAATAAATAATCTTTATGCTCTGCTGATACACTGTGCCAAGCGCTCGCCGTATGCGTGCGTACCTATGTATGTACGCCGGCTATTGGCTGTCTGCCATAGCCATTGATTGGTGGCTGAGGCTTCATCGCCCATAATACATGTATAAAAGCAGCCCTAAAAAGAACACAACATATGACAAACAGGTGAT